CTCAGTCGTTCATCCCAAGTCACTCTTCTTCCTGGGTTGCTTTGGCCTTTGGCCCACTTGGAGTATTTCTATCAATGGTTGTTAATGTTAATTTAAGGAAGACATGTTTAAGCACCTCAGTCTTCTAAGTGAACCTTTATATATATATATATTTAATATATATCAGTCAATATGTAATTTATGTCTGTCTCAAAGTTGGATATAATGGCATTTTGTAAGTTACACTTTTGTGAATCCCCTGTGAAAGCCTCTCTAGCCTTGTAGATAATCAGGAGCAGACCATGTTATTCAGCCAAGCGTTCTGTCCTCGGGGGATGGAGGAAAGAAGTAGGCAGTGAGCTCAACTGATTCTAAACAATGCCTGATAAAATCAGGCCCATTTTCTTCAAATTAGCAGGGTCTCATGGCCTAAAAGGAAAAAATTAGGGGGTTCCTCATTTCATAATGAAGAACACAAGACCTCAAGGCCAGCAATCCATCTTAAGCTCACAAGGACGTCTATTAAGAAGAGAGAAGAATTAAACGCCTAGACGCCTGAGCAAGTGGTCCGCTTGTTTATCTGTCCAATGACTCCATCATAAAAGACTGGCAAAAATATAAGCTCTGATAAGGGTCATGTTCAACTCAAGCACATCAGCCACAGTCAGTATCTGCCCTTGGCAAAACTGTGTCAAAGTAAATTGTATCGTAGTGGACAGAGCAATGCTCCACGCAGATCTCTGAGCACACTGCCCTCAGCTGTCGGCCTTCTCAGGAAATTGCCTTTGGCTGAAAGAGGCATCGTGCCCAGCGTCTGCCCTCTTCCCAGGGCATCCCTTTCCCTCACCCCAGCTTAGGACAAGTCTAACCCAGCTTCACAGCTCCCCATTTGGTTGGCTGAGACCTTTGCTGAATTTGCACCACAGCCCAACATCTCCCCTTTCTCAGTCCTGCACCTTTCCCTTCCCTTCTCCAAGTGGAGATCCAAGAGCACTCCCTAATAAGCCTCGTGCTTGCTGATCTCCATCTCACAGTCTGCTTTGCAGGGAGCCTAACCTGCGACTTGTGTGACCTATTTCTATCACCTTTGAGTGTCTGGTGTCTTTGTGATGGAAGTCTTCATTTCTCTCCTATCGAAATCTGCTTTTGAAATTAATAAAAGACAAGAAGAACCTGCTTGTAGGAGAAAGAATGAATAAATTTATTCCCTCCAGGGTGTAACAGACCAACAAATTACAACACATGAAATTTCCAATTTTCCCCTTTGCAGTGACTCTTCCACCCTAGCATCCCTTGAGGGATTGTTATGATTCAAAGTCTTACGCTGAAAACAGCTCTAAGTGAAATTTCAGGCATCAGTATATAAATGGACAACAGTGAGGCTTCACCTTTCTAGATTCAGTTCAGGAAATTGCTACAACCGTCCATGTATAATACAGCTCACCCCATGCTGGTCACCCCGCCGACAGCGTTAGATGCCTGTACTCTAAAAAAGTCATTGTGCTTCTTCGTGCTTGAGCTCCCGTGACAAACGCAGCACCAGGCGAGCTGTGCTGGAGGGACTCATTAGGAGTTTCCTCTTTAGTAGAAAAATATTGATGCAACAATCAAGAAGGTCATAGCATGGGTAAGCCATGTTTTGAGTCTTTCATTTTCGCTAATTAAAGTGAACGTGTTACTGGAAGGTTTAGAAAGCCCAGCCAGAGTCATTCACAATAGCTGCAATTAGGAAACTGGGATGCCAGCTAAAGTTTTTCGATGGCATGAAATGAGACTGACCAAGCATATAGGTAAAATCCCCTTAGAAAATGGCCAAATTAAGGATGTGGACTCGCATTGACCCATGCCAGACCTCTTTTACACTCATCTCATGTCCTGAGATTTCACTGTATATTTTGTCCTTTGGCTCAAGTGGTTCTTTGCTACAAGTGTAGCATTTAGAGCTACCTGTATTAATATTTTTAGTGAAGCCAATTTTACCCATCTCTGACTCTAATTTCTCCTCCAGAAATTGTTCTCAGGTTATCTGAGGCTGTTTTCGAAGGTTGAATGGTATTGTTTAATTTCGAAGATCATTTTCCCAGGGGCCAGAGCACTAATGTCGGAATTCTTAGACATGTTCCTTAATTTACTCTCCCCCATGGTGTATCTTAAGCTTAGTTGAAAATGCAGTTAAAGTCACTCAAGTTGCCCCCGTGTAGATGACCACACAAAGTCTTCAGTAGCTGGAATTTGTGTCTCCCCTAGTTTTTACTTCCATTTAGGACAGAGAATGAAACTAGAAATCAGGAACAGGAAGAGAACTTCCCACCATTAGACTTTGGTGTCCTGGAAAATTTCCCACTAGTCAGGGAATCTGGATCATTTCCATAACCAGCTCCTTTAGAGTTTAGACCTGTTGTTCTTGACTGGGGATGATTTTGCACCCTGCTCTAGGGGACTTTTGGCAATATCTGGAGACACAGTTGGCTGTCATGACTGATGTGGGGAGGCGGGTGTGCTACTGGCATCTGGTGGGTAGGGGCCAAGGATGCTGCAAACACCCTATGGTGCACAGCACAGCACACACATCCCCACAATAAAGAGTTATCCAGTCCAAAACGTTCATAGGCCTGGCCCTGAAAACGTGATTTAGCCAAACCAAGTGGATAACAGACAATAGATATATGCTCAATGGAGAGAAAATGTATTTCACTCTTCAGGACCCTCGCATGTCTCTCCCTTGGCTTCACTTTGTAATACTGTGACATGTGAGGCTGCTGTTCCAGCAATGTGCTTCCAGAACAGTGTTTTGGGATAAGGACTGCAGTCTTTTTTTTTCCCATCCAGTGCATATTTAGTGGTTACCTTTTTTGTGCCGGGCACTGGGCCAGGTAATTGGGTTACAGTGAAGAGTAAGTCTTCTTGGGTCTTTATGTTCCTCTGAAAGCGAACATTGCAGTCTTTCTCATGATATGGTACAATCATGCATAAAGATGATGGAAGGTCATGAGAAAAACATTTGGTGGGAAGATTGTAGGGGTGGGGTGTGGGAGCTGTCTGCTTCCTTGGCTCTTCTCGCTTTCCTTACTGGACCAACTTTGACTTTGACCTTTCTTCTTTTTTTTTTTCCCATCACCCAAATTTGTTCTTACTTTCCTCTTTTAATTTAAACTTTCTGAATAACATGTATCCCTCCTCTTACAAACAAAATGAAAACACAGTAAAAACTGCCAGCAAACCAAGTTTAAATATCACACCCAACCTAAACCTTAAATTTAATTTTTCTTCATTAAAGATGCTTTTCTGTATGTTTATACATGTCTGTGTTTTCTGTCCTTTAATACTGCCTATATTTGGGGTTTGAAAATGTTCTGGCTCAGATTCTTAACTTTTTCTACGGGTTGTCCGAAAATGAATCAAAATGCTAGATGGGCTGATAAATATTTTTATGTTGTGTGAGGCAAAAGTGGGAAAAAGTTGAAATACATTAGATCTTTGAGCCATATAAAACTCTTTATTATACATTTCTTTTAGTTCTTTTGGTTCTATTCAACCAAAATAAGATAGTCAGTATATATATATATATATATATATATACACACACACACAACACACATACATACATATATACACACATATGCTTAATGTGTGTGCATGCATATATTATAAAGCAACAACAAAATAATAAAATCCTGAAAACAATCTAATATTCATCAATAATGGAAAGCCTATATAAAGTATGGTATATCCACATTGTGGAATATTATGCAGCTATTAAGAAGAATGAGTCACAGCATATTTACCTAGCAGTCCATAAATCCATATGAGAAAAGGCTGATATGGTTTACACTCTTGTGTGCTGGAGGTTAACCTGCAGAAATAGAAGAGGTGTTCTGAGTTCATAGACTAGAAGAAAAATTAACCCCAAATTATTGTATCAACTCTACCAATATTTTATTTTGCTATCTGTACATTTATAGCTTTTTCCTGTATGCATTCATGGAATCAGGCCTTTTTATTAATGATTCTTTCACTAAGAACTATAATAAAACTTGGACACAGACTCAAAAAAATAAGGAATCAATCAATATGGACAGATTGGAAAGATGTTGATAATATGGTCTTAGTAGAATGGTATAATCTCAGGAAAGAAACTTCTCTATGTGCATGTGTAATATAATACATATAATCAATATGTAGTGCTTATATATTTGCATAAAAATAGACAAGGTGTGGAAGGATGAACACAAATTTTTACTATTGGTTACCTCAGAAAGATAGGTTAGAAAGGGGGCTGACTCATTAAGAATATATATTAGTTTTGTAATTAAAGAGAAAGTGGAAAATTTTACAGAAAAAAAATGTAATACCATTTACGTGGTCGACCATAGGTCCATTGAACTCTTCATAGAATAGTCCAAATGCAGCAAACTTGCTTGTAAATCTCAACTGGCCTTGAATGCTGATGTGAAGTGCCTTTTTAGTGGCTCATCAGGCCACGAAAATATCCACACAATATGTGAAAAGTCAATCACGGGGAGAATGAGGGAGCTGAAGAAAGTGGGGAGGAGTTGGCAAACCCCAGGTCTGCTGTTCAGACTCATAAACCTCGCGATGGGGAGAAGCTCCACTCCATCCTTCAGGCGCATCACAGGTCTCGCTTGAAAGATGTGGACATCTGACAATTTGCACGTATCTCTTTGTGATCAAGGTGAAGTACTGTGGATGGTTGAGAACGTGGGTTCTGAAGTCAGACTGCTTGGCTTTCTTTCCTGATCTAACTATTTCTGAGATATGACAATTAACCAAAGTGTGCTTCAGTCCTTTATTTGTGAAATGAAGATAAATACAAGTCATAATGAATATTCCAACTTGGAGGGGGTGGCAGTGGGCGCAGTGAAGGGCAAACATTTGAAAATCCAGAGAAATCAGTGGGGTTATGGCAGGTGGTACCCACCTGGGAATGGCAATGCACAGGGCAGCATCAGTATCATTGCGCTTTGACGGTTCTTACGTGTCTCCCCCCTTCTTGTTTGCAGACCACCATTTTCAGCACATTGGCCAGTGAGAAGTCCTTATCTGACTGCAAAAAGGTAAGTCAGCCTCCAGGAATTCCAGCCAGCTGTCAGAGTAATAAAAGCCTTCAGAATTGATGACACTCAGTTGAAAAGCTCTGGTATCAGTGAGAATGTTCTGCTGACATATTGTCGTCCTCTTTCCCCAGAGATGGAAATTTGAATGGTTCTCTTTAAGGATGTGGAAAACTCCGTTACAGTTGACAGCATTTTCTTATAAAGAAGCCTTGGTTCCATATATTTCTATCTCGCTATTATCTGGTATTTTATTCTGCAAGATGAGCATCAAGGGAGTTCAGGCCAAGCGGCATGGCCGGTGTCTATATCTTTGTTTGCAAATTTAAATCTAATAAACCTAAACCCACTACAATATAAAAATGATTTTGTATTTTGAAAGCTGATCATGGAGCATAAAAATCTGGTTTGGATTCACCACAGTCAAGTTTGAGAAGCTGTCATGCTTTGCAGGAGGATTAGCCTCGCTGGCATCCGAGGGAAGCCGCCCCTGTAATGGATCGTGTCTGAAGCCTGCCTGCTGGAGCAGTAGCAGCATGTCTAATTCCTGGCCTTTGCAGTCCAGGGGGCACTTTTATCCGCCTCTTTAATCTTAGGTTTAACTAGATCTTCTTCATCTTGAGGGGAAAGAAGTGATTTCACAGTCTGAAAACTCAGATAAATCGGTTGACACTATCTATTGATATGGAAAACCAGGTGCATAAAGAGTTGACCCGTGTCTCCTACATTAGTGACTTGGCATTTCTAAGGATTTTATACCATGACATTGTTTGCTGTGCTGTTTCCGTTTCTGAGTTTACTAGATATGGAAATAGGTAGCAGGGATCATCATCTTTGAAGGTGGCAGGTCGGCCCACTGTTCTGAATGCCATCCATTTCATTATCTTGAGAGTTTTTTTATTGCTTATTAAGTCTCGGATTGAGTTCTGCAGTGTTTGTCTTGTTCCCAGCTTCCCGAGGGCGAGGTCCATGTAGAAAATTGTAGCTCTTAGAGAACAAAAGGACTTTCGGGGTTCTGTAGTCCCCCAGAGTGGGTCTGCCGCTGGCATGGTTTATAGGTGGACTTCTAGGCTCCACCTGCATGTTCTACTGACAGGGAACTTAATGAGCCTGACTGTTCACTAGTGAGACAAAGTATTTTACCGAGCCAGTGTCTGCCTCCTTTGATTTCTGCCTGGTGATTTAAGTGTGAAGCCAGCTAATATGCTTTCTTCTGAATCTTCTCCCCACCCCACTGCTAGGCTAATTATCTTCCTTCTTTATTTCTAATAAGATGTTGATAATGATTGATTTCCAAAAAGCATGGCTGCCAGGAACTGGCCATCTGATTTCAAAACCTGGCTCTACCACTTGTTACGTTTGTGACTTTGAGTTGCTTGCATAACACACTTGTGCCTCACTCTTCTCATCTGTACAATGGAGATAATAGTTGTACATAACTCGTATGGTAGATGAGTTAACTTGGAACAGTGCTCAGCACATACTAAGTGCTGTATTAGCTATTATTATATGGCTTCTAGACCAGGTTGTCTTTTTTTTCTGCATGGTCTTTATTACCAATGTCAAGAATTGTGCTTTTCACCCTTCATTCAACAGGCTTGGTTTACAAACTTGGTGCACGACAGGCACAACAGAAGACATGGCCTGTGGTGAAAGCATAAGCTGTAGGCATTCTTGAGTGTAGCACTAACATTCTACTAACACAGTGTAAGACGGCGCACATTTCTGTTTATAAGTATATCCTTCTGTTGACCGTGTGAAGTGTAACATCTTCACATGTGCCCTTAAGACCTTTTTCCATGAGCTGGCGTTAAAACATGGCTCTCTTTATATTTCTGTAAGTGATTCTTTTCGTATGAATGCAGGCCATTGTGTTTATTTTTATTCATTTGAAATTTTTCATCAGTCAGGGTAATTCAGAAACCCAGGTCTGTTATCCAACTTATTACTGCCTCTCCCAGCTCTGTCAGGCACAAATTGGACTAGCAGAGTTGGTCTCTCTGACTTCACTTTCACTCATCCATTCACCCATGTCTTCAGTGAACAGGGGTTCACTGAGCGTCTGCTGTGGGATATGAACTGGAATATCACAGAGAACAAATCACATCTGACCTTTATCCTCGTGGAACTTGTACATAGTCATTAAATGAGTAAAATTGTGATGCATGATACACTCTGATAGCAAAATTGTGATGGATGATATGACTTTTTTTTTAAGTTGGGAAGTTCTGAGGTCATACACTAGGAGGACCTAACCAAATCTAGGAGTCAGGGGAAACGCTCCTGAAGAATTGACCTTCACGCACAGTGAGCGAATGGGATCTGGCCGTGTGAAGACAAGGTGGCGGCAGGAAAACAGCAAGTGTGTAAGTCTGGAGGGGAGAGGTGGAGAGCTACAAAATGTTCAGAAGGTCTGGAAATTACAACTTGAAAAAGAGAACGAGAAGAGAGAGAAGAGGCAGCCCGGTCATGAAGGGCCTTGTAAAACTGTAGTAAGAGTTTAGATTTATTGTAAGGGTCACAAGAAATTTTTAAAGGACTTTGAACTTGGGAGGGTAGGTGTGTATGACATGTATTTTATTTCAAGATCACTTGGCTACTGAACGACAGAGAAGCAAGATTTTAGGTCTGAAGTCCAGGTGGAAGGCTGTAATCTAGGCAAGAGATAGCAGCGGCCAGAATCAGAATTGTGGCAGTGGGATCGAGAGGTGCTTGGGTGATAGATCGGCAGCACATAATAATAGTTGGGTATGTGAGAGAGGACGTCCCTAAGGATGATTCCCTGATTCCTGACATGGGCCACTGGCAGGACTACAGTTTTCTGAGAAGGAACAGGGTTAGGGAGGAAGCTGATGGGTTCAGATTGATATATGTCAAATTTGTGGTCTGTGTGAGGTCTCTAGTACAGATGACCAGCTGGCATCTGGGCACATAGAGTTATAATTCAGGAGAGCTTTCTGGGCTGGAGATACGAATATGGGAGGAGCATGCATGTGGAATAAGATTGAAAGAGTAGGAATTGGTGAGATCACCCAGGGAGGGTGTGGAGAGTGAGAAGGAGGAGGGTTGAGGAGCAGTGATACACAAGGGCTGGGAGAAGACTATGGACCTGTGAAGGAAACTGAGAAGACTGAGCCACTGACGTTGAAGGAAACCAGAAGAAAGTGATGTCACAGAAGTCAAATCGATAAAAAAAAGTTGTCATTATAAATGAGGTAGTAATTAATATCAAAGCTGTTGCTGAAGAAAAAAAAAAGAACTGCTGCTGAAAGGTTAAGTAAAATAAGGACTGAAAAGCTTCCACTGGGTTTACCAGTATCATAGGTCACTGTTGGTTTTAATGAGAGCAGTGATGGGTGCACAGGCCAGACTGCAGCGGATTTAAAATTGAGTAAGGAAGGAAATAGAAATGGTAAAATAGATTCTTTTTAAAAGGAATTTGTTGCAAAGGGAGGAGAGGGATGAGCAATTGGAGGGGGGTTATAGGGTGAGAGAGGGATCCTTAGGATAAATGTGAGCACATCTAAACTCAAGGCACACTCTTAGAGGAGACGCCTAAGTTATTATCTTCTGACTTTCTCCCTCCATGATCTCTCCAGCCCAGACTGTTTAAGTAGAGTTGACAGCACGGGGTGGATGTGTACTTGGGGAGAAGGCTCCCCAAGCATGTCTCATCGTGTCTCCTGCCGCCTGTTTTCTGTTCATTGATATTTATATCTTTGTGTCTCGATGCTTTTCCGTCTCTCAGTGCAAGATATTTGGACCCAGATGTGTTGTCTCAGCAGTTTTTGTGTAGGGACACTCTGACTCAGCACCATTGAACTTCCAACATTTTAATTGGAAGTAATGTGCAAAACAGATACCCTCACCCCTTCTCCCAGGCTCCTTACTCTGATCCTGACCCCCACCCCTGGGGCATAGGTCAGAGATAGGTGAGGGGTGACGGATAGGTGAGGGTGATGGATGGGATGAGGGTCAAGGCTAAGATGAACCCCAGGGATGGGTTACAGGTTAGCGATTTCTGTTTCACAAATTAGTTGGAAATGAAAAATGGTGGTTTTCCAGTTTGACATCACAATGCCCTACCTTATCCTGCCGTAACTTCCGTCTACATACGGTAACCCAGACTCCAGCCAGAATCCCTATCCGTAGTTGTATAAATAGGTTTCTCATGTTGGAGAGTTTATTTTGAAAATTCAGCTGTCATTTTGATGGTTCATTGTACCGTGTGTGTGTGTGTGTGTGTGTGTGTGTGTGTGTGTGTGGAAGGGGCTCCATTTCTCTCTCTCTCTGTCTCTCTCTGTTCTCTTTTCCTGGATTTCTGATATCTTAACCCATGTAAATGAGAACCTTTGAAAAACAGTACATTTAGGAAATATGTCCTTATATTAAAAGATGGTTTAGGGGCTATGTGGGAACCTCAAGGAGTGCCGCCTGTGGCTGGTGGTAGTTTGAGGGGGTACTTGTGGTGTGTTGACTGTGCTCTCTCTTCCATCCAACCCTTGGCTCTGACTTGAATCCTCCACTGTTACCAATGCCGTGTGCGTATGTGCAGAGCACGTGCCTTTGGCATCACTTAGCCCCTTGGATGATGTTTTTATCTTTAATAGACACAGATGACGCTTCACTCACATATGGAGGAAAGGTAATTTTCTTTCAGGAAGGAAAATATACAATGTAATGGGCTTTTGGAAGTTTTCATCCATGTTGATGAATGGGTCTCTGTGTAAATACAGCCCCCGATAGTGATATCAGTGGTTAAGATATTTACTTACAGTCGGTTCCTCAGCCTCTGTGACTATATTATATCTGGCTTCCTCTTTTAAAGACCAAGACTTAATGTCTAGACGGTGTGCACTGACCTCCACGAAGCTGGCTGGGCAGACTCCCATGACTCTCAGCCTCTTGGCAGGCTTTCCAGGCTGGTAGGTCACGGTGGCTTCTTCCCATGCCCTGAGAAGAGGCACAAGGACAAAGCAACCCTGTCAGCAGTGAGGAAAACT